ACCCCTTTTCTAGGTTCTCCCTCAGATCAGTATAAGAAATGGTGGAGCCCACGGAGCAGGTATCTTGGGTAAGTGGTTTTGTCCCTCACTGTCTTCTCTCGTTCTACTCTAAGTAGGCAATTATCTTGTTAAGGGGAAAGAAGCTACTGTAGGAACAGCACAAATGGGGGCTGGAGCTCTTTTCATGGGAGGGATGGGTGGGCACAGACGACAGCTGGAATATTGTGTTTGGATCTGGGGGCAACAACACAAGAGGGACATGGAGCTGTTGGAGCAAGTCCAGAGGAGGCCACGGAGATACTGCAAGGGCTGGAGCAGCTCTGATCTGGAGCCAGGCTGAGAGAGCTGGGCTTGTTCAGTCTGGAGAAGAGAAGGCCTTAGAGCAGCTTCCAGTACCTAAAGGGGCTACAAGAAACCTGGAGAGGGGCTTTGGACAACAGCCTGTAGAGACAGGACAAGGGGGAATGGCTTTAACCTGACAGAGAGGAGATTGAGATGAGCTCTTAGGCAGAAGTTCTTCCCTGTGAGGCACTGGCACGGGTTGCCCAGAGAAGCTGTGGCTGCCCCATCCCTGGCAGTGTTCAAGGCCAGGTTGGACAGGGCTTGGATCAATCTGGTCTAGTGGAAGGTGTCCCTGCCCGTGGCAGGGGGTTGGAAGTGGATGAGCTTTATGGTCCCTTCCAAACCAAGCCAGTCTGTGATTCTGTGATCCGCTTTTTCCCTCAACCTATGCCTGGCCTGTGAATGGTCTGTCATTGTACATGCTCTGCTTCAGCCCTTTTGTCACTACGGCTTAATGGCAGTGGGGTGACTGGGCTTGGCTAGCTTCCAGCCCTGCATCTTTCTCTGTGCGGAGCTCAGAGTAACCTGAGCTGTGTGTTTTGCTGCAGGAGAATGGCAGGAACTTGACTGGAGCAGGGTAAATGCAGCAGGTTTCCTGGTCCTTGGCAGGGAGAGGACAGGTCATGGTTTTGTGTTCCTGTTTGGTCAGGGGCCCATCTGGAAGGACCGTTCATCAGCAAGGAGAAGAAAGGGGCACACCCAGAGCACTGCCTCCGCACCTTCGAGGCAGGTGCCTTCCAGGACCTGCTGGCCACCTATGGGTCCCTGGACTGTGTCCGGATTGTCACCCTCGCCCCAGAGATGAAGAGGAGCAGTGAGGTGATCCGGGAGCTCACCAAGAGGGGCATCTGTGTCTCGCTGGGTAAGGGCTGGGGCAGAGGAGGCTTAGGGGGGGTTCTGTCTCCCTGCCCCAATTTTGGGGCTGTGGCATCTCTAATGATGTCTCAGTGTTACTGGACAGGATGGGATTTTCTTTTCTCTGGCCTTTATGGAGGCGACAGACCTGTCACAAATGGTGTGACATAGTGTGGTGCTGTGAATCTGTGGCCCTTTTTTACAATAACGGCTGAAATTCATATTTATCGATTGAGGAGCCCCTGCTGTTGAACACAAGGTTGCATTTGGTGCTGGTCATACACAGGAAAGAATAGCAGTCTTACTTGAACAAAGACGTAATTGAGGATTGGCGACGTGGAAAGGTTGAAACGTTGAAATTCCACTGCTTTAGGCCTTATTTGACAGGTGAAATAAATTTCCAAAGGTTACAGCTGAGTTTTGATAGCTCTGTTTTTCAACCAGAAGCACTGTAGGAGATCTCTCCCTCCACTATTTTGCTGGCCACTGACTTAAAACTGGCTGCACTTTTCTTGTCTTCTGTTTCACAAACTCTTCTTTGCATCAGATCATTGAAGAAATACCTTTAAAAGAAAAAATAAAACCAAAGAAAAAGTGGGGCAGTTATTCAGGGTGAATTTCACCCTGACACATTAGACACCTCTGTGATGAGGCTGGCATCTCACAGTAAGGCATCAGAGTTGAGTCCTAGTGATGAAGCATCTTCACTCCTGCAAGGAAATAAATGGAGGTGGGTAGAGAAATCAGGTGTTGGTCTTTGTTCCCAGGTCACTCAGTGGCTAATCTCTCCCAGGCCGAGGATGCTGTGCAACATGGCGCTACCTTCATCACTCACCTCTTCAATGCCATGTTGCCGGTGAGTAGCTGGAGGCACTTGCCCAGCACTGTTATTGCTTCTGGTGCTTTCATCTCCTGCATATAGAATATGCATGGATGCATATTTTCCCCAGCTTGTTTTGTACCAAGTCTTGCAGTGAGGTTTCAGCACTGAAACTTTGGCTTCACATTTCTACAACCTGATCTAAAAGACTTGAGATTGGAGGAAATGTTCAGATTTGCCTCGTAAAGGACAGAGCGTTCAGCTGCCGGGCACTGTTTAATAGAGGTGGCAGCTGCGTCCCCTGCCATGAGTCCTGGTGGTGCTCCATAGCTTGTCCTCTCTCCCTTCGGGCAGTTCCACCATCGTGACCCTGGGATCGTGGGGCTGCTGACAAGTGACAAGATCCCAGCTGGGCAGAGGGTCTTCTATGGCATGATCTCTGATGGCATCCACACCAACCCTGCCGCCCTGCGAATTGCCCACCGAGCCCACCCCAAAGGTGAGCCATGATGGGCCCACGCAGTGACACCAGCCATTGCCCACAAAGCACATGAGTTCTGTGGTGTGCTGCCCTTGCTGCCTGAGATACCACAGCCCCAGGGGCTGATCCGACAGCCCTTTTGCTTTGGTTGCTTGTGGCTAGAGGCATCTTGGCCCCTCTCTGGGAGGGCTGGTGAGGTGCAGTGCTCAGAGCTCAGCAAGATGAGCTGCAAAGCTAAGGCAGCCCCTTTTCTTGTGTCCCTCAGGCCTGGTGCTGGTGACAGATGCGATTGCTGGCATGGGACTGGCACCAGGTCGGCACACACTGGGGCAGCAGGTGGTGGAGATTGATGGGCTGAACACCTACGTTGCAGGTAAGTGTTTCTCGCTAAACAGCCAGGGACAGTGCTGGCAGTCATGCCTGTTCCTGGAGAGCTCTGCACACCTTGCAGTGCCTGTCAGAGCAGGGCAGCACTTGTGCCCCACCCTCTTGGGTTTTGGTGCCTGATGGCTCTGCAGGGACTTGGCCCTGGAGAGAATGAGACATCTCATAAAGAGGGGAAGTACCCCATCTTCGTGGGGTGAGGAGGAATCTTGCAGTTCATAGCTGTCTGCAACACCTTTGAACACTGTCATGGACGCCAGAGGTTCCAGTGGGATCAGAAAGGACAGAGAAATCCTACACATACTTATTGTCCCTTGTCTTTACTGTAACACGACCACTCTTTCTAAGTTCCCCAAGTTGTAAGCAGTTGGAAACTGGGAAGATATTTCAGGAAGGATCATTCTCAGTGTCCTTCCGCTGTCTCTGGCAGCAGATGCCTGTGTTGTGTGCTAGTTTCACCTGGTCCAGCTGGTCTCACAGTGGAGCTGCGGGGGGGCATCCCAGTACCTCTCCCTGCATTGCCAGCATGAGTCCTTTCTTGCCACCTTGTGTCACTGGGCAGCAATGGCTGAAGGCCCTTCAACTTGCTTCCTGTGCAGTCCAGGATTTCTACCCCTTCTGGTCATGTTATACCTTCCAGCCACTCCACTTCTCCTTCCTTTGAGTTGTGGGACCTGCTCAGCCCTATCCTGTTCCTCTCCCAGGCACAAAGACCCTGAGCGGCAGCGTGGCGACCATGGACACATGTGTGCGGCACTTTCAAGAAGCCACAGGTAAGTAAGTGTTGTCCACAAGCTGCTGCTCCCTACCTTGACATGGGAAGAGGTCTCTCTCTTGCCAGCTGTGTCCACTCCACCAGGCAATGTTCCCTCTCACCTGAGACATGATGAGAAGGGCTGGGATCAGCAGCACTGTCCTCGGATGAGCACCTTTTTTTGGTGAGGGTTCATTTTAACCCATAGCACTGATGAGAGGTGAACCCTCCTGTGCTTTTCTCCCCTTCCCATTCCCTAGATGTTCAGTTCTCCTCTTCCTTCTATCTCCCATAGGGATGTTTCCCCTCCCCAGCTCCATCCGCTGTGGTCAGGGTGTTCCAGCTCAGGTCCCTGCCAGGGTGACAGTTTCCTTAGCTGTGGGGGTTCAGGCTGCTCTAGCAACAGGGCTGTTTGCTGCCCTAATGTCTCCCCCTTCTCTGTCCAAGGGTGCTCAGTAGAGATCGCGTTGGAGGCAGCATCTCTGCATCCTGCCCAGCTGCTGGGGATTGAACACAAAAAAGGGACACTAAATTATGACTCCGATGCAGGTACTGGTGTGGGAACTGCAGGTACTGGTACAGGGACAACAGTGTGAGGGCTCGTGGCTGCTGGGGCTGCTGCAAACATATCTTCATCTCCTGCTTCAATGGGAGATGCAGGGAGACTTGCTCTACCTGGGATTTGCTCTGGGCTTTTGCTTCAGGGGTGTTTCCCTTGGGTGCTGGTGTTGTTTTGTGAGCCCTTTGGTGAGACCCCATTTCTCAGCCAACATGGAGCAAAGCTGCCATAGCAAGGATGGCACCATGCCGATGTCCTGCTGCCTTTTGTGGGGTGGGGGGAATCTCTTCCCTGCTGAGCCCAGCTCTTCCCAGCCAGCTTCAGCTGCTTGCTTTCTCTCTCACCCGATGCAGATTTCCTGATGCTGAATGACGATCTGTATGTGCAAGCCACGTACATCGCAGGCGAGGAAGTCTGGAGACAGGATGCATTGGGCATGTGACGCTGGGCTGTCCCAGTGCCCTCCAGGCTCCCTGGCACTGTGGTAGCAGCTGGGGCAACCACCCCACTTCTCTCTTTTCTTCTTTTGTTTTTTTTTAATTCCTTCCTGCAATTCCCTTAAAGGAGCCTCATACCAAAGAGCTGCATTTTCCAGCGCAGCCACTGCTTCCAGTTACAGCCATGCCTGCACCAGATCTGTTGGTGCTTGGTTGGTGGTGTGGGGAGAGCAGGCAGATCAGTGCGGGGGGTTCTGCCAGGCCCTGGAGTGACCTGAAGGCCTGCACAGTTGTCCTGCATGGTGTCCCTAGATAGAGGTGCTCCTGTCACCATCTCACAGCAGTGTGAAGCTGTCCCAGCCGCAGTGTGAAGCTGTCCCAGCCTTTCCACTGTTTTGTAGAGCACACACTAACCCTTGTGTCCGAGGCAGGCTCAAGCCATTTCCATTCCCCTGCCTGCTCTTTGCCTTGCTTCCAGGCAGCCACAGCTGGTTAGACATCAGCTTCCACCAGCTCAGCTCTCAGCTCTTCATATTAAAAGGTTCCTTTTGTGTTAACAGAAGTTGAGGATCACATTCTGTTGCCCTGGCAGTCCCTCTGCCATGTATCCTCAGAGCAAGGCTGTCGCAGCTTGCAGACTTGGTGCTCTTGTGGGGCTTTGAATCCATATGGGCTGAATCCTCAGGACAGAGGTCAAACCCAGGAAAAATGAATCATTGCTGGTCCTTTGTGCCTTTCCCCTTCATGGGCACTGAGTTCACAGCACGTGATTTCAGCTGGAGACATGGACAGCATCCTGCCACAGAAGGCAATGTTCCTTTTAACCCCTTGTTCTGGATAGATGGGTTCTGCAGGGTCTGTGCTTAGCCCCTGATGGGGCTGTGAATCCTCAGGTCACAGAGGAAGTTTTACTTCAGGGGACACATCCAGATTGATGCTGACAGGCACACGAGCTCTCAGTCCAGCTAAGGGACAGAAGGGAGGAGAACTACACTCGGGTTCTGGCATTTCAAGGCAGCTTGTGGTAGCTCATTATTCCCATGTTCATTATTATCTTCTCCAGTGTCTGGCTGTCAGCTCTTTTCCTGACACTTGGCCACTTCTTTGTGAAGACTGTTGTTGATTTCAAACCTACCATAGTCAGAACAGCCTTGTGATAGTTCTTGGACAACCTCTGGACAAGCCTCAGACCAATTAGATGGGTTTTGTGTGAGGGGAGGGCTTAGACAAGGGCTAAGTCTTAGCAAGAGTGGAGGCTGTAAGGCAAGGCAGGAGCCTGGTCAGGATCGGCAGAAGTGTGCCCATTTTTCCAGTACATTTTTGTAACCTTTAACAGCAACATTTGGAAGTGCTTTCCTCACACTTAGAGCCTTGCTGGAATAACTGGCAGCCTTGGGGAATTTCTAACATCAACTGCCAATGTCAGCAGAAATTATAACCTCCACGATGTGAAACATTTGAAAGGAACATCAAATGCTGTGCTAGGAAACATGACCTGCCACAGCATTACATATCCCCAAGAGGTCATTTTGGGCTGCTGTTGGAAAAAAAAAATCCAAGGGGAAAAAAATGCATATGAAACAAGGTGTCTATTTTTTTTAATTATTATTTACAAAATTAAGCAACTGAAAGGAAATCTAAAATAGAAATGGAATTAGACAACACTTGTACCTGTCTATTGCCCTCTTTTGGTCTGCTGAAGGTACGCTGTACCCTGTGTTGTATGGTGGTGTGTCAGGGTGGGATGGGTGCTGCTATCCCAGGTCCTCTGCACCTGGGTGGGCATGCTGCTGAAGTGGCTGTGGGATTTGGTCCATGTAGGGAGGCCACAGCTGGACAGTGGTGTCCTGGCACTGGAAATGTATCATGGAATGGTTTGGGTGGGAAGGCACCTTAGAGTTCATCGAGTTCCAACCTGCCACGGGCAGGGACACTCTCCACTAGACCAGGTTGCTCCAAGCCCAGCCCTACCCGGCCCAGCAGCTCCGCGTGGGGCTCAAGAGACAGGAGGCCAGCTGGGGGTACAGATGCACCACCGAGGCTGGAGCTCGGCTCATCCGGTCCCCAGCCGCTCCGCGCCTCGGCACCTCTGGCCTGCCTCCAGCCCGTCCCGCGATGCAGGCCCCGCCGAGGGCAGAGGAAGGCCGGTGGTGGCCCACGGCGGGGCCTGTCCCCTTCCCTACCGGGGGGTCCGTGCCGGGGACCGGGCCCTGGCCGAGAAGGACGCCGCTTTCCCCTGGGCGAGGTTGCGGAACGAATGCGAGGGGACGAAGGAGCGGGCGGATCACAGCGAGGGGCGGTATTTGGGCGGTGCACGGGGGCCTCTTCTTTCGCGGCTTCACCCGCGGCCCTCGGAGGCTGTCTTGAGGACTGGGCCCCAGTCGTTGGTGCTGGGCCCTGCCAGGGTGAAGCTCGACCCCGGGAGCCCACATGCTGCTGGTGGCCGGAGGTGGCCCGGAACCTCCGGCATGGAGCAGGTAAAGGTTTTGCTTGTCCCTGCTGCCTCAGGCGCATCTTGCCCCGGTGCTTCCCGGGGTCCAGGCTCTACTCCAGCCGCAGTTCTGCCCACAGCTCCCGGGGGCTCTTTAAAGCGCTTTCCCTGGCACTTGTGCCGCCTTTCCCAGTTCCTGGTCACCTTCGTATCCCGCTAAGGCAGGATTGTTACTCACTTCCTAATGTGCCGTAAGGAGTGTCTGGTTCACTGGCTGGCTTCTAACCCTTGCTTTGCTTAGCAGGAGGCAGAAGGGGTGTAAATACAACATTCTGGAGGATTTGTGTTCAGCATAAAGATAAATTCTGTGTACTGCCAGCTCTGTGCTGGTGGGAATTTTATACTGCATTCTCTCCTTTTCCTTTATTCTTTTCCATGTTCCCATCTAATGGCTCGTTGTTCGGTTCTGCTACAGCTCTGCCTTTTGTTTTACAGACTTAATGAAATTATGGCATAGAATAAGCTTCAGGAAAAATGAGAAATCTTCCATTGGGGCCTTTAAAAAGGGTAGAGTGGGGAAACAACCAACCAAACACCCCTAAAACCAAGAAAATAATCAGGAAGTCCTGGTTTGCCATGAGGGGCTGGTTTACTGCTAGTAAGAGTTGTTGTTTCTAATTTTTGAGATAAAGAGGGCTCATTTGGTGCCCTCTAGGGAGAATTGTAGAGCATTTGTCCCACCCTGTGCTATGTTGATTTATGGTATAAATTGAACTGTGACACGGCACACTTCAAGCATAAAGCTGGAAAAGAGGTTAATGGCTCATTAGTTTGATCTCCTATAAGAGGGGAGAGGAAAAACTCCGTTTTGGAATCAGTTTTGCAAGCGAGAGATTCGTGCTTCTTTTAAACACTGTGCCTTCCCATGTCCAAGGGTCCCCAGCGCACTTTCCAAGAGAAGCTGCAGTGGTGCATTTCACAGCTGGAGGCAAATCTTCTCCTCAGCCCAACCCCCAAACAAGGTATGTTGCCTCCTTCACAGTCCACAGCCATATTCTAACCTCTGACCTGGGTGTTTTCCTGTTTCTACTGTTTCCTATTCTTGTGTTATATGGGATTTTTTCTAAATACAAAATAACATAAAGCATTGAACTTAAGATTTGTCTGTCTGGAAGCAGCTTATCTTTTATTCCTGTAACATTAATCTCTGTTTTATTTATTCTTACTCATGTTCCCTTCTAATGGCTCATTGTTTGGCTCTGCTAAAGCTCTGCTTTTGTTTTGCAATTGCAGTGAAATACTGTGTCAGTGCATCTGGCCCTTAAGCACCAGTAGGTTTATTTCTGTGAATCTTGTTCCTCATTGTTCATGTTCCAAAGACAAAGTACACAAAAGATAAAATCCTATTAAATCATTTTCAGAAGAAGTTACATCTGGTCAGTTCAACTTGTAAATGTATGAAGACATATATCCTGCTTCTGCTGATGGCTGGTAGTTAACATTTAGAGGAGTGGTGTGACTACCCTTTGTAAGGTGCCAAGGTGAGTGTTTGCTGGGGCACCCAAGGTTATAGCAGTGATGAATTCATGCCCACACACCAGGCTTGACCGTCGGACCATTTTGTTACACCTGTGTCTTGTGCTTGGTGCCTAGTGTCCAGCAGCAGAGGGGAAGGATGAAACTTTTTCTAGCTCTTTCTCTGTAGCAGCTCTTAATAGGGAGCAGGCCTTGAATACAGCCAGTCAAACCCCTTGAAAGTAGGGGGAAATGTGTACTCAGGACCCTGACACCCACTTTAATAGGTGGCTGCAGCCCTGCTGTGGCACTTCTCCCTTGCACTTGCGTGTCATTACTCTATCTCTAGCATGGGACTCACTGTTGAGTCTGGAAGATATACCTCATTTGGAGAGTTCCAGAGAGGTGCACTGCAGCCAGGGGAGATGGGGGGGTATCCATTCCAAAATACTAGTTGAAGTACATCAAGCTTTTTTGTGGGTTGAAATGTGTGAGACAAGCACTAGAAGACTCTGCATATCTGGAGTTCTGAAAAGAAGAAGTTTTGGGAACAGCTATGCCTTTTAGAGAATTGCTCTGACTCACAGAATTGGGATTACTGTTGTGGTCAGAGTGGTTCATCTGAGAGTCAAGCAAGAGTCATCCTTTTCAGGGTGTGCTCTGTACTCAGATTTTTCCCAGTTTTCCAGAGAAGAGACACCAAGCTAGGCTCTTGGATTTGTCAGTGGCTTTGAGGGGAGGGTTGTTGAGCCCTGTGTAGCTTCTGTGCCATTAGTAGCACACCTTCTGCAGTTTAAGATTCTTGCTGTATATAATAAGCAGTTAAAATCTACTTATTTACACATACACACCCCCACACCCTTTAAGAACATTTCATGATATTCCAGCTTCTAGAAGCACTTGGAGTTTTCTTTCAATTGAATGCCAGTCATGGATTAGTCAGAGGTGGTATGAACACGACACATTCAGAGGAGACCCAGTCATCAGGATCCCACAGTGTGGTGTGTAAGGCCCACTGTAACTTGCCACTTGCCTCTCTTTGTCTTTTTCTTGAGTGCAGCAGAGGAGACCCAGTGCATTCTCAAGGTCCTGTGCTCCCGTGACACCCCTTTTGCAAATAAGCAAGAAGTGATGAACCACGTGTTTGAGGATTATCACCTCAAGATGGCTGATGATCAGATGTGCATGGACAAAGCAGGTGAGCTTCAACTGTCGGGTGATGGTGACATTTGGTTCTTTTCTGTTGATTTCTTACATTGCAGCTTATAACTGGATTTTCTCTCTGTGGCTGTGTCTTACAGAGGGAGTTGCAGTAGCAGTGGCATCCCCACAGTAGGAAACTGGCAAGTTGATAGAAACGTTATGCTTTCTTTCCTAGACATGAAACCTGTTGATGTGGAAGTACAGCAGAGCAGTGGACAGGCTTCAGATAGTGTGGTGCATGGAGAACAGTGTGACCAAATCTCCAAGGCAAAGCCAAAGTGGTTTATGTCACCTGACAACAGCTTCCGATTTGATTTTACACTTTCTGACAGCGACCCAGAAGCAACTGGCACACCTCTGGAAACAGTCCCTGATGTCAGTGGTGATGAGCAGATACAAACCAATGCTGGAGCCACTGAGCAGAACTGGAATGGAGCCTTGAGTTTTGCTGCCTCTGGACAAGAACCCAAGTTTGCTTTCAACTTTTTCATCACTGATGAAGACTGTCCTCTGAGTCAGTTAGTACCAGCAAGCCAACAGACAGACTGTACAGCAGGTCATGAGGTGCTGGGTAATTCTCTGCTTGATGAATCAGGAGGTATGCCACAGATTGCAGCCTTGCAGAAGCCTGAATTGACTCAAACTACAGGTAATTCACCCAAAGAGGATAGAAGCCATGTCACATTAAAGATTCCCCAGTCAGAGACTGCTCCTGGAGATGAGCCAGTGGCAGAGAAATCAGCAGATGGAGGTGCCCAGAAGAAAAAGAAGAAACAAAAAACATCTGTCAGTAAAAAGGAGATAAAAGAAACTGGGATCAACAGGAAGACAAAGGCAGAAGCTAGCAGATGTCAAAATGCAGGTACTTCCCACCAGGATGAGACCTCTCAGGTATTTAAATATTAATGGGATCCTGTAACTTATAAACCCTTGAGCAAAAGAGAAGCTTCATCTCTTTGTATATTTAACAGTCAGTGTAGTGGCTTGGGAGAGAACCTGACAGACCAGGGTTGCTGCTTGTTTCTTACAACAGCTGTTTTATTTCTCTGCTAGGCAGCTGAAGAACCTGATTAGTTGAGAAGAAGTTAATGGCCCTTTGTTGTCTGCTTCAGGCTTGTGCTGAAACATTTCATGTTTAAACTTCTGATGGCTAATCCTGCGAAGCTGGGTGCCACAGTTTCTTAAAAAAAAATAGATGCAGCTCTCCTCAGTCAGAGCTAAACTGGTATCTGTGCATGCTGAACCAGGCACTGTACCCTGATTAGCATGTTACTGAGTAGGATGAATTGCCCACATAACACAAATACCAAATCTGAGGTGCAGAGCTGTTGCCTGGTATAGCAGCAGCTATGGCAGGGTCTGGTGTGAAGCTTAAAGGTACTTCTGAGAAGATTCTTGTTGTAAGGCATGGCCAAAAATAGACTGAAGTTGTAAGTTATGTGTAAACACGCCATTAAGGCACACCCCGAGGTTTTCTGGTTTTCTGCTAAGGACCAGATCTTCACTTCATTCTTCTTTCCAGCACTGGTATAGTTATTATTAACAGGCAATGCCAGCTAAGTGATACTGAAATACGGAATTGCAAAACACTTGCTTACATTAACATTCTACACAGAAATTGCACTGAGTGGTTACCTGCCTCTTCTTGCATTCCATCCAAAATACTGCTTCAACAACAACCCTACCAGTAAACACAGCTGAGTACCAGGAAGGTAGGAAGGTGATGGAAAGATAGAAAGGTGATTTAAAGCTCCTTCAGTCCATTGGAATGACACTGTTGTAAGGAAGAGGAGACAGCATGAATGCTTTTGTGTTTACATGTACATAACAGTTAATAATTGCTTCAGCCCCAGAGTGCTGCTCTTGTTCCTTCTCCCTGCCACTGCTCAGTTAGCCAACTGGCTTTGCTCAATGGGACTTGGCTTCTTTCATCTTCATGGGCTTCAGCCTCCTTCTCATGAATTTCTGGTTGTGCAAGCAACCAAAGCTTGGTGTTTCAGGAGCTGAAACACTAAGACTCAGCTTCTAATTTTGTCCACCGTTTGCTTTTTTTATTACGGGCAGGTTTGGGGCAGCTTTATTTTTTTTGTTAATGCTTATTCCTCCCACCTGTAAGTTGACTTGACAGCTTCTTTCAGAGGCCTGGAAAGCTTTCCAGAAAATAGCATTCTGATGATGCATCTAAATGACAGCCAAATATTAAATCCATAAAATAGAAGCAGTAAGTTGCAACTAAACATTTGTCCAGTGCTTTAAGTTTGTCCAATGAAAAACGCTATAGGGAAAAGTCATTAAGTTTGTAAAGTAATAACCAGAACATGAAACTTGGAATAGTCCTGCCTTTATGCAGATGCTTTTTTTCCTGTGTAGCACCTGCTGCTCTAATTTTTAGATGTCATGCTTACTCTGCTTCATGTTGCATAGCAGTCTGGGGACCAGCTGTGGAAGGAGGTGGACTGGTGTGTGGAACAGCTGGAACTTGGCCTGAAGACACAGAAATCTACTCCAAAGCAGGGTAAGCATTCCAGTGAATAAGAGATCTCCCCTGTGGGAAGGGCTGGCAGGCATGTTGGAGCAGAGAGCCACTGGGGTCTTAAACTGTGCCTTATTCCTCCTTTGGGTGCTTCAGTCGACGAGGCTCTCCGTGCAATCAAGACATTGCGCAGTGACAAGGCTCCGCTGGTGAAGAAGCGTCAACTCATGAGAGCCATGTTTGGAGACTACAGGAAGAAGATGGAGGAGGAGCTGTGCAAAGAGCTGAAGCTCATGGAAGCAAGTAAGAGAACTTTGCATGATGGGGGAAGAGAAAATGGAAGTGCTTTGCCTTTCATATTGCTTTACAGAGTGGGGCCTTGCTATACGAGATGAGTAAACATCTTTCATTGCTCTTTGCTCCCCTCCTTGAGCTGTGAAATCTGCCAGAGTTGTGAAAGTGAAGAGAAACGTCTGCAAGAAGAAAGGCCAGTTCATCCGGAAGTGCTCAGAAGCTTGCAGGAAAAGCCAAGATTCAGAAGGATGCCTTTCAGAGTCACCCGGGACACTTAACACAGGCCCATTCAAATTCACACCTTCCCAAGAAGAGTTTTGCTTTAATTTCTTGTAGGAAAGTCTAAAGCTGGCTGGAAGCTTTGCCATATATTCTGTAAACCTAAGAATGGTGGAAAGATGCTGTGCAGTAGGAAATGTTACCCAAAAAACTCAGTCTTTTCTAAAGTACGGTTCCTCTTTCAGAAGAAGGTTAAGTTTCTGTGAAGATTCAGCACAGAAGCATCCAGCTATAATGCATGGATAGTTGGATGCTTCCACTCCATGTGAGTCAATGCAGCCTCTGGTATCCAGAAAGCCCTGGGCAGTGTGTGTCATCACTGCCACCTAGAGTAGGAGTTCAGGGTCTTGGAGGAAAATGAGTGAGAATTGTCCTTGATCGTTCATCTATTCGGTTGAACAGGTATAGACTTCGAAGACAATTGCAAATACTGCTTTAATCTAGCGTAGGGATGGAAGGACAGTTGTTTCCAGACAGGGATAGATTTTTGTTGCTGAAGCCATATACTGGCCAGCTGGGAAGGCTGTACAGTTGGCTCTTAAAAAACAAGTTTACTGTGTAAGTAGCCTGGTTACAATCACCAGTGACCCAGAGGCTGAATCAGCTGCATGCCAAAGCTTGGGTGGTGGTGAAATGAACTGAGAAAGCCCACTGACTCTTCTGCGTTGGATTTGTATTAATTTTTTGCTACCTGAACAGTTGAATGTGTCTCTCCACACAGTGGAGTTTCAGTGTTTCAATACTACAACCCATCTCCTGTGTTTATGCAGAAAATCTTCCTCTTTAAGCTTAAAAAAGCTGAAGGAACAGAAGTCCTACACAGTCCTGGTATCAGGTGTCCCTGGGTGCAGTGCTCTCCTTCCTTTTTATAGTCCAGTCATCCTGCCTGAGAGACAAGAAAAGAGAGTGTAGGCAGGTTCCAGGGTGTACTGTGAGCAGCTGAGATGGTGGAAAATGTTTGCTAGGAAAGGCTTCAAAAAACCTGATGTTGGCTAAAAAAAAAAACAACAAAAAACAAAAAACTAAGCTCTGATACAGTTGGTTCCATGTGTAATATTTTTTTGTGTGCTTTAAAGAATGCTTGTCTAACATAAGGAGAAACTGAACGTGGGTAACATACGTGATGAGGAAAAATATGCAGAGAAAACTTTTAAGTCTTCTGGAAATCAGTAGGTGAGCAAATTAATTCTTTTGCTTGCCGAGGAGCACTGCTGGTACTTTGTATGGAGCAACACTATACTGTATTTTTTTTTTTTATTTCCAGGGCCTTATATTACGCATGCAGAAGCTGTGTCATAAAACTTTGTGTTTTCATGCCATTTAGTAAGATTAAAAACCATCTTGTACATAACCTTGGATCTACAGTTTTCTTCTTTCCTAGCTGATTATGCAGCATAAGTCTGGGAAAACAGGTATTTTGTTCCTACCTTGTTTCAGGTCAATCATTCTCAGGGAATGAAGTTTGCACTTTCTAGAAGTGTACAGTCCTTAGGATGGAGGAAAAGCAAAGCAGGCTCCTTTCTCCAGGCTTGTCCTAGCTGAGCACACAGAGAAATCTGTAGTGGCAATAGATAGGTTGACCAGGTACATCTGGTACAGGATAATTATTTCCACATGAAGAATCCCAAGGTCATTATTCATATAAATTCCCATGGAGGTCAGTTGAGCAAAAATGTGAGGAATTCCCCAGACACAGAATACATAAGAGTATTTACAGTAAATTGCAAATATAATCAAGGTTGGATGATATACTTTGGAATCACTCTCTTACTAGCCATGCTGATCTTATTCTGCTCTTTTTTTTTCCCTTTACTTGGATCAGTTGCAAGTCAGCTAGTTGGGAAATCCTTTCAAGCAGGAAACTGCACAGCTAGTGTTGGTAAAATGTTTAACATCCTGTGCAGTGGAAGGCTGCAGGAGTATTCTGGGAAGCATTCTTAGATAATTGCCTTGTGATTATAGTATTTGTTAGGCTTTTACAACTAGAATAAAGAAACTGGTGAGGTGGACATTTGATGTAACCTAATCCAGCCGGTGTGTCTCCAAAGGGATCAGAGAAAAAAGCATTCTAACACATGAATGGCATCTGTGGCTTTTCAGAGGTCTTCACAAGATGCTGACTAGCCAGACCATATTCCTTTCACAGTGCTTCATTACTAGAGGACCTGGAAGGCAAGTGTTAACCGAGGCAATGCTTCATAGCCCTGACTGCATCTGTGTGCAGGACCAGAGCCTGCTGGGTCAGTACACGACTGTGATCCTGGCCAAGGCATTTTGCCTTTCTGTTTTCATTGTCGAGGTGATGCCTTCTGCCTTTATGACAGACGTGCCCAAGTTATTTTATTAATCATTGTGTCTTGAAGAGGCAACTCTCTAGTATTTTTCATGTGAACTTACGGCAGTCTTAATGCTTTGCGATGTTTGAAGTATCTCTGTTGCATTATCATGTTTGAAAGGAAGCTGTTATTTGAAGTTACAAAATGCTGTCACTGCTCCATTTCTCTGTTTCCCTTCACAGCAGCCACAATGCAGTCTTAATGACATTTAAAACACCCCCAGTGTTCTCCCCTTTTAGCATTTCTTTATTTCAGATTTCAATGCTGGCTATGATTTCAGTGATGTCTCTTATTACAGCACTGTCAGGTTTGTGTCAGGGCTTTGCTCTATGAGTTACTGTAATATGTGTGGCTGGAGGTATGATCCATGCCTGAAGGCACTGATGGTGTACTGCAGTGAGAGAGAAAGGTGTTCTCATCTGCTTGGAGTGCTCCGTTCCAGTGCTCTTGCATTAAGGAACTGTAGCTCGGGTTTGGTAGAAAATTGAGCACAGTTCTGGCTTGCCTCTTTTTCTGCATCATCTCTATTTTGTGCTGTGCATTTGGCATTGGCACCAAAAGGGTGGCTGGATTTGTGGTACAATATCTCTTTGGTGACTGACCACCTAAATGCAGTGCAGCAGTGCCACACCCAGGCTTGTAGGCAGCAAACTGCTTGCAAGAAGTTCCAGCATGGTGGTTGTGATAACAGCAAGCTGGGTGGGAGTGCTGATCTGCTGGAGGATAGGGAGGCTCTTCAGAGGGATCTGGACATGCTGGATCGATGGACTGTGGCCAATGGGATGAGGTTTAACAAGGCAAAGTGCCATTTCTTGTGCTTGGGACACAGCTCCATACAACACTCCAGGCTTGGGGAAGAGGGGCTGGAAAGCTGCCCATGGAAAAGGACCTGGGGGTGCTAATTGACCGAGCTGAACATGAGCAGCTTATGCCCAGGCAGCCAAGAAGGCCAACAGCATCCTGGCCTGTATCAGTAATAGTGTGGCCAGCAGGACCAGGGCAGTGACTGTCCCCCAGTACTGGGCACTGGTGAAGCTGCACCTCGAATCCTTGTTCAGTTCTGGGCCCCTTATCTGTTCTGGGGACCTTATCGCACTCTATAACTGCCTGACAGGAGGATGGAGCCAGGAGATGGCTGGTCCCCTCTCCTAGGGAACAAGTGCTAGGACAAGAGGAGATGGCCTCATGCTGTGCCAGAAGAGGTTTAGACTGGATATTAGGAACAGTTTCTTTACTGAGAGGGTGGTCAGGCATTGGAACGGGCTGCCCAGGGCAGTGGCGTTCACTGTTCCTGGAAACAAACCGTTCACAAACCGTGTAGATGAGGCCCTCAGTGACATGGTTTAGTGGTGGCCTTTGCAGTGCTGGGGGAACGGTTGGACTTGATCAACCTGGTGGATTCTATGACCTCGGGAATGACCAAGACAAGGCAGAAAGGGGTTGTGAAGTACAACACTGCCCCTAGAGCAAATCTGGCTCAATTGCATTGGTCCTGAAAAAGTAAAAGCAGAGACTGAACTTCTAAGGTGAATGGGATGGGGGAATGGGGATGTTGTAACTTTTCTCAGACCATGTAGCAATGCATGGGAGAGGTCCTGATTTTGAGAACAAAGTGAAGAATTTTAGAGTTGTTTCTGTGGTGGGGTGAGCCCAAGAATATTTCTACATAGAGGCAGCAGAAATCTGGGTGTGATCTCTGCTCTTAGGCTTGGCACCCTCATCTGTAAACAGATCCCCCAGCAAAGGTTAGGAAAGGCAATGCCCTTCCAGGCAGACCCTGCCATTGGGGGGGAGCAGACAGTGGCAGCCCTGCTTGCATAGCTGCTCATCTCTGCTTACATTTCAGCTGTCAACCTGGATGCTGGGCACCAATTGGTAAATTCTTTCAACCCCTTCCCTTGGGCTTGGTCAGTGGGAATGATTTATTTGTCTCTGTGCTGCGTATCTTCTGCTTTATGTTATGGGGGAGCAGAGTCACTGAGGCTACAAAGGATCTCCAAGGGATCCCCATGAAGCTCAGCTGAAATTACCTCCTGAGTCCCAGAAGCTGCCTCTGTGAGGACTCCCTCTCCCAAGACCAGCAAGGACAGAAGGAAACCAACAACAGATTGGTCCTACTGAATCCCTAAGTCAGGTGACTAATATTCCTTTTTGCTACTTAAATTTGTTATAAGAGTGCTAAGGGTAGAGTGTGAACTCGGCGTCTAATGACCCCTAAAGGGTAAAATACTCTGTTCTCTTCCTTTGGGGAGGAAAACCCCAGTCCTAACTTCTCTTTCCTTTGAATTAGAAAGAAGAAAAGCTTGCCACTTCAAGCAAGACAACAGTTTGAATACTGTAACAGAAGGAAAGTTATTTGAAGAGAATAGACATTGAACCTGCAGTTCCTTAAGCAAAAAAAGAGGAGAGATTCTGCTATTTTAAGATCATTTGGAGCTGTGACAGATGATCTTGTATTTTTCTGCTAAAGTTATTTTACTTCAAGGACAAAGTTTTATTTTCTTTGTTTAATTTCTTTTTTTTTGCTGCTCACTGTTTATGCTGCTGTCCTATTTAGAACTGCGGGAAGGTTTGTAAGCCACACTGCTTTAGAAAACATAGAAAATCAATTACCACAGTGCTTTGATTGCTGGCAACAGTCCTTCCTGCTGATGCTGACGGCTGGGAAGCACTGAGCACCCACTGTGCCTAGCTCATCTGTCTTCTTCCCTCTGAGTACATCAACAGGCACTACTAGCTTCTTGGTATCTCACCAGACAAGATGGAAGAAGTCTGGGTTGTGTATCTCTGCCTGATCTTGCTTATCATAGTGCTTCTTCTAATGAGGCATAACCCACACATGGAAGAGGCCAAGAAGGAGAGGGAAAGCAGGAGCCCCCCACCACCCTCCTCCTTTGTCCCCAGTGATGTCGGCAAACAACTGGAGCACAGCCAGGAAGAGCTGGAGCACTATCTAGACAGGCTGACCCACGTCTTGTTTGCCACAGAAGCCAGGAAAAGGGATGGCCACCACGATCAGAAGTCACATCATCACAGAAGTGCTGATGTTATGTCTGAAACTAAGGAGCGTTCAGGAAAGGAGGCAGCACATGCTCAGTATCTGTCCAGCTCCATGAGGGTTCAGGTATGAGGCTTATAAAAAACTTTCAGACTCAACCAGACTTAGAGGTCCTGGCTGAGGTAGAAATGAAATGCACAGTTCATGAACTTGGATTGGGAGTGGGGGAGGGAAGTCTCACTGTTTCAAAGGATAATACATTCCTATTTTTGCACTATGTATTTCAACATTGAGCAATCATCCAGAGACAGCTCTATGTGACATGCGTTTTATGTGTGTTATGTATATAAGATGTCAGTGTTGGCATTAGCATCTATGCACATCTTTATGTAAGTGTATTATCTTTCTGTATTAATAGAAATAGGTGTTGTTTCTTACTTCAAGAAATCCTTGTGCAGCTCTTCAGCTGCTCTTCAGCAGAGATTTATCTTGACTCTGCCCACAGTTTCCCAGCTCGAGGTCTGGCCCAGGAGCTCTGCAGACACTTGCCTAAAGTTAACTCCTGGTATCGAGCCCTGGAAACATGATGTGTTTCTGCTGTGCACCACAATCATGCACTGTGTACTCTGTAAACATGACAGTCACTATTGCCAACCTGCAAAATTCTCTTTGCCTTGGCCAAGGCTCGTTTTTAGGGGCTGGAACACGACTCATGCCTTTATATTTTTATCATTATCCTCATTGCAATATATCAGATTTTGCCCTTCAGATGACAGAGGTTCATGGCAGCCATGCAGGGCCATGTTACCTTATGCTAGCAGCTGTTTATGATCTTCATTTTTGAGACATGTATCACACAGGGCCAGTGCCCTGCTCTGCCACCAAGCACACTCTAGGTCCAGGTGAGAGCTCCAGTACAAAGCCTCATGGTTAGAGGGGAGAGCCAGAGCTTGATATTAGTAATTGTGCCCTGCCAAGGAATCAAGACATGGATTTCTTAGCAATAAGGCACTGC